CCAACCCAAAATATCTGCATAATGGAAAAGTGCAGTGAGCAAAATACAGAAATTTATTTTGAACTGCTTTTTAAAATTTTCGTGCAAATAGATAGCTTTAATTTCTACAGCCTTGCAACCTGATTCGACAAATGGGCCAACAGCCCAGGTGAAGGGTCACAATGTGGCTACACTGCTTTTGGTATCTCAGCTAACTTAGGAGCATGAAGTTCTAGATAGTTTCTATTGATAAAATCTTGAAGGACAGTAACCAGAAACAATCCAGTGTGGTTCTCTTAGTGTAGATAATACTTTGTTTACTAGTCCATTTTAAAAGTAAAACACACATTTTTTTGTGTTTCCAGTATGTTTCAGATACTGGGGTTTTTTAAAATTAGTTAAGTAAACTAAATTGCTTTTTTGGTAACATTTAGTTAGAATTCTAACTTCCATCCAAATGTAAGTTGACACTTGTGAATAAAAAATATGGTATGCATTAGTACAAAAAATTAAACATTTACAACTTTTAACATAATAGTAAAAATTAAAGATCCAAATAAAAGCATATAGAGTAAGGATGTAAATATCATTTTAAAATATTCATTGAAGCTCCTCTACTCATATCAGTTAAATGATTAACCTATAATACAGCAGCTCAGATGCAGCTGCTGCTAGGAGCTGCTCCCAGCTGCTAGAGCCCTTTGACTGGGAGGAAGGAGCACCTGATTATTTAAAGTATTGACTGATTATTTAAATTAAGGTTTCCTATTTGATTTAAAATTTTGGTTTAAGTGGGTGATTTAAATTGATTTGCCCTGACTCAATTCCAAATAGAGGGAATTGATTGCCAGTGGCAGGATGTCTTCAGATTTGTGTTTCCTAAAAACTGGTGCATGTGCTTCATAGGGTGGGACCATCTTTTAATACTCATGTTACAGTAAGGGTTCTGCTAGTTATGGTGACATACAACAAAATCAAAATGCAGGTAATCCACATGAAGTCACTTGTCAGCCATCTTGATTGCTTGTGTCACATTTGATTGTCCTAAGTTCAGAATCCAGTTGCCCATTCTATAGATAGACAATGTCAAATGGACATTGTTTTTTCTATTTAATACTTTTTCCTGATATGGTTATTTCTTTTAGCTCTTTAGTTACTCCTTGATTTTTGACATTTTTAAAGCCTTTACACGATTATTCTTCAGGTTTTTTCCCTAAGCAGGATTTTTTAACTTTGAGCAGTTTCCCAGATTGTTGCTTGTTCTTTGAATTTTTTTCTTTTCAGAGGAATTTGTGTACTGTTGCTTAATATAAGTATTATTAGTTAAGGCAAGGCAGGGAAGGCTGTTGGTACTAGGTGTTGCCAGGTTTCTGGACTGGAGAACACCTTGACTCTCCCCAACTGGGGAACTTTGCAACACTCCCACAGCACTCCATTTTCAGTGTTGAGACTGGTACTGTCCCAGTCAGTCAGTTGATTGTCCCTATTAGGATAGGGACATGCTACATGTTTAATTTATGGCAGAATACAAACCAGCCACAAAAATACTCCACAAAATATGTGGAACATCTGTGTAGCTGGCTTGCCACTTCATGATGCTATGAATCATTAGCATATGTAGCAGTGGTATTATCTATGGCACAGTTAATATGTTTATTGCACCTTAAATGTAGTGTGTTTCAGAGTCCTCTGAATCCTCCGCTCATTGTCATTTCAAGTAATTTACAGCCAGTAGAAGCAATTTACCTATTATTGCTTAGACTCTGCATGTAATATGTAGTGTTCAATCTGACTTCCTCTTAGTTGGAGTCTTCTGCTATGTAGTTGCTTTCTCTGCAATTTCAGATTGAACTTGAAGCAAAACTACTGGGTGAAAACCAGTAACTTCTGTTACATAGGTGGTTAGACTAGACAATCATTATGATCTGTAATGTCTTTAATATCTGTGTACATCCTTCATCCATTTAAATATCCCCCAGTAATAGAATAGTATTCTAGAGAACCTTGAACTGATATAAAAAAAAAACTTTCTCCTTCTGCTTTTAGACTCTTGTGGCAAACAATTTTGGGAATCTAAGAGTGTGTCCTAGTGATGTATGCAAAAGTTACCTGCTATTTTTTTTAGCTTTGGGAAGATGGGAAATTAATTTACCCAACACTCTTCATTCTGAAATAATATCTGATCTGTGTTCAATCACATTACTTGTTAAAAGAACTTGAGGAAATTCTTCAAATTTATGCCTCTGCCCTGGTTTTTATATTTGAGTAAAAGTTTTCTGACAAAAATTGCCTAACAATTTTTTAAAATATTTGGCAGTGTATGGGGACTGAATTTGTAAAAGAACTAACAACATTTTTCTTGTACTTCAAGGTTAAACTTTCCAAGCTGAATTTAGATGACCATGCGAAAAAGAAGCTTATTAAACTTGTAGGAGAGCGGTACAGCAAGGATACAGATATCCTTACCATTACAACAGACAGGTATGGTAACACGAGAAAAGTGTCTGTGGCTTTGGTCCTATTAGAAATTAGTGAAGATGTCTGCAGTAACATATCAATTTGTCTTACTTACCCAGTACTCCTTTCTGATCTAATGATGATGAAAGTAAACTCTTCAGCTGTTTTGTTTCTAAAGACATTCCTAATAATTGTCTAGAAGATCACCAGTTGATGGCAAAGTATGGGGTTTTTTTTAATTGCTATTTTATACATTTAGTTAATGTTTAGTTACATGCAGCAGAGTGTAAGGGAGTAGCTTATTTGCCAGAACAACCCACTGCATTTCAGAGGCTTATCCAAAAATGTGGTTCATTTGTAAACCAATGTGGCCTAAAAATTAAGGATATAATTCAGGAATAGGATACATGTTGTTACTATGGGAGTGTCTCTGTGGCTACATAATGTTGTTCAAGTGCTTACTAGGTAATCTTTACAATTCTCTGACTCTAATCATTACCCGCATTTTGTAGATATGGAAACTAAGAGTAACCATGACTGGCATGGAGTCTAATCAAGTTTTGTCATGAGCCTTTGCGTACCAGTTAGAGCCGATCACCTCCTTAGTTGTATTTAATAAACAACTAAGTTTATTAAATACAATTTATAATTACTTATTTTTGTAGGTTGTTCTATTGTTACCTACTGTTAAGTTGAAGTCCCCTCTCCCAGTCTGCAGTGATTTCTTTAGAAAAATTAAAAATCTTAGGTTTGAAAAGATGAAGGTACAGCTGTGGTTTTCTCGCCAACATTATAACCTCTTACTCACTGGTTCTTGTGCCCCAAGGCTTTGAACAAGGGTGATGTGTCAACTTGCAGGAGCTGGCTGCCAAGCTTCCGGAGCGTAGTTGTGTCCGAGTGGGTCTGTCAGCAGCCCCTCGTTCCCAGGGTGTGGCTTACTCCCATGGCAGGGCAGGGTGGAATAGACACCAGCCTGAGACTCCACACCCTCCAGCGGGGACTAGATATGTGTTTATCGGCAGGGATCCGGGTTTTCCATTTGTGGGAAAACATGGATTTTCTCATTTAAAGGAAAAAACCTGGGAAATGGCTGGTTTTCCCTTGCACGCTAGCAAAGTTCCAGCTTGCAAGGGGCTGCTTGCAGCCAGGGGGAGCAGGACATAGGGGGTGCCATGTGCATTTGTTTGCATGCACATGAATGTGGCAGCCAGACAGTAATGGAGAGCAGCTCCCAGAGCTCCCTCCAGGTAACTTTATGGGGAGAGGGGGCACAAACAACCTGCTGATACATGCCCCCTGAGACTCCTGTGCTCACAGTGGGCTGCCGGGCTGCAGCCTGGCCAGACCAGCTCGGGGCGGGGGGGCGCGTGGAGGAGGACAGCTGCAGCTGGACCCACTTCCTGGTGAAGTGAAAGGGGCAGGAGGAGCTCTGATTTTCCATGATAAAAAAAACCAACATTAAATCAAGCATCAAAATACATTGGTATTTAGAGTTTATTTTATTATAATGATTGAGGCATGGGTAGGCTTCCAAATTGCTTTAAAATTGTAAATATATCAATAAAGCATTGTGTTCAACTGACATGCATGCATACATACATATGAACGAACACGTGAGTTTAAGGTACTAGAGGTCACATTTCACCCAAGTTGATTTCCTACCCCATTTCCCATATTTCCTTGTAGTGAGGATTTAACTATTGTTTTAAAAAAATTATCCTTTCAACTTCCTCTAATTATATCAGTTAAAAGATTAATTGAGAACCAGGGCTTCTGTGTTTTTTCTGTTTAACAATCCCAAATTCTCTGATTAAAAATTCCCAAATCTGCGTTTTTCTGCGATTAAAATGAAGTGTGTGTGTGTGTGTGTGTGTGTGTGTGTGTGTGTGTGTGTGTGTGTGTGTGTGTGTGTGTGTGTGTGTGTGTGTGGATGCCTGGGGTGGGGGCAGTTCCTGCCTTCCCTGCCTCACCCCTTCTCTTCTGGAGCAGACAGCACAGCCCAGCCTAGGGCTGGAAAGCATGCTGGGGGACTGTGATTCAATTTAAACCAGCAATGGATCTGGGACAGAAGTTTCATAAACTGGTTTGACCCAAATCAGTTAAGTCTCATACTACATTCAACCAGATTTATCTTAAACCAGTTTCAGCCATTTTGAAACTGGCATATGTGCACTGAGCTTCTATTCTGTTACAGGTTTAAATCAGTTTCTGATTATTTAAACTGGCTTCTGTGTAACTTCTGTTCCTGAACAAACAAGAGCCAGCCATGTCACATTGTGGCAAGAAGAAAAAAGATGCATCATGCTGTGATGTATAAACAGGGGTTCAATAGGAAGATCTGGCCCTTTTATGAAGACAGACAGCCCTCGGGTAGGAACCCAGCTGTGGGTGGTTAGCTGTGAGTAAAAACCCAAGGGGTATAAAGAGCAAGGAGCTTGAGCTGGGAAGGAACAGTTTGTGACCAGGAGGCAGCTTGGAATCCAGAAGAGCTCGCTTTTAAGAAGGGGCCAGAGCTACAGAGGTTTTTCCTGCCACCTGGAGAAAGGTTAAGGTTTTGCTTTAGTCATTTGTTCGGGGCAAGAACTGTTGTGTGTACTAAGAGGAATGGCTGAAGGGCTCCCAAGGAAGCCAGTCTGTGACACAGCAGGAACCCCAAACCCATTTACAAAGGGGGTCATGTCAGAAATCTGAAATAATCTTTCCAAGCTACTCAACAGCAGTAAGGCCTTACCTGGAGTATTGTTTCCAGGTTGGGGCTCCAAAGGTCATGAAATATGGGTCAGCTTCAGAGACTCCAGAGGGGAGCAATAGAAGGGTCAGAGTTCTAGAATGAGTGCTGCATTGAGAAAAAATTAAAGAAACTGGATCTGGTTAATCTAGGGAAAAACAGGCTGAAGGAAGATGCGTCTTTCAGTATGTGTAAAAGGTTACTGCAGAGAGGAAAGGGAGTACCTTTTGCTTCATGTTCACTTGGGGATAGGAGTAAGAGTAATGGTGTTTAAGCTGCAGCAAGAGAAATTGGTTGATGTTAGGGAACACTTTCCAACTATAAAGAAAGTTAAGCATTGGAATGAGTTGCATAGGGAAGCTGGAATCTCTGTCATTGGTTGCTTTTAGGAACAGGTCAGACAGACTTCTGTCAAGATTGGTTTAGGTACAGTTGATCCTGCCTTTGGGCAAGGGGGTGATCTGAATGATCCATTAAGACCCCTTCTAACCCTATTTGCTGTGATGGTAGGAAGGCAGTTAATGGTGAAGTATCAGATTTGAGTTAACACTGCAACAGCTAAGAACCACTTTTGTAGGATTTTTTGCCCTCGGGAACTTATGCAGCAGTAGCGTGAACTTTTTAAAAATGATGGAGTTGCTCTGTTTTAAATCCTAACATATATAAAGGATCAATGTTTGTCATCATCAATTTACTAGGCTGACTACTGTAATCCTGGTTATATATGTCAGAAACTAGTACATCAGGAAATTCAGATCGCAGCTCTATTTATTATTGATTTAGTACAACAGAAGTATCTCTTCTATCATGTTAGTGATGTATGTCATTGCACAGATAGATAGATATAATTTGAGAGGGCTGTAAAGAAATTCCAAGTGTGGTCATGCTTTGAAACAAATTACTCATTTGATAATGTTTTTGAGGTGTGAGGGGCTTTTAATGATACCTCACAAAATTGGCATTTGTTACATGTTATTTTCATATATCTAGGTTGCTTTCGTCATGCTTAATTTTGCCTTCAATCCAATTCTCTTTGTGCTTACATCTTATATTTTCTTAGGAAATAATTAAAGTTAAATGATACTTCACCAATTAGGGATCATGTGAAACAAGATTTAATGTTCTTGGTAGAACTCCTCAGGTGGTAATAGGGGCTGACATTATTTCATGAGAGAGGTCTGGCCCACCTCCAATCTGGAGGCAGTATTTTTTTTTTTAATTGCACTAAACTAAAAGCAAGCTCTGCCCATGAATAGAAGCATTGAACTTTTCTTTGGGTTTGTATTTTAAAAGAAAAAAGTATAATGTTACACAAATTTTATATTCCCTAAAGAAACATTCACCTTGTCAGTTCTAAGACTTGAATTAGGTTCAGTCATGCAAAGTGTTGGACAAAATGTGGCAAGTCTTTGTGGACAGACTTATGGTTGATTAAGCAGTAGACCTTTAGTTTTATGACAGTTGCTAGCAGCCTGTGTTCAGGAACTCTTTCATGCTTGATGCGTTGGAAATTCTGGTTCTTTGAATGAAAATGAATTCTCTCAGTTTTGAGCATCGTCACCAATAATAAAAGCTTCTGTAAGACGAGTCTCTTCAGGTAACTTTCTTTAAATCTACTCCTGTTACTTGATTATGAATACTTAAATATTTGAGTGTGTTATTTTGACTAAATCCTGGCTGCTATTTGTGTGTGCTGTATAAGTAGTTATTCCAATAAGGATTCATTTTAATGTGTTAGGAAATTGCTCTGGAAGCCATGTCCCGACCTCGTATTTCACCTTTTTGTAAGTCTGTAAATGAGCTCTTATACATTAGATTCTAGAAACCACTCCATTTAATGTTTCTCAGTATTGTTCACACAATCTTTTTCTGATCCAGTAACTGGTAGTAGAAACTTGTTGGTAGTAGAATATTGAGCAACTGCTCGGGTTAAGACTGACCCCTGAGTAGGTACAAAACATGTCAGTAACTGTGAGCTGTAACTAACCTAGCCCTGTCACTGTAATTATACAAGTGGAGCAAGACTTGTACCTGTTTCATTCCAGGTTAAATTTAGTGGCATGCAGAGGTAACAGTTGTAGTATAATAATTCATGCTGAGTAGAAACACTTTTCCTTCTCCCCCCCCCCACCAACTTTCCTTTTCATTCCTTAGAAGTGGTTAAAAGGAAAGAAAGTGCAGTGCAGAAAACCATGTTATTGAATGGATGTGCAGCTGTTTGGGGTTCTAATCTGTATTTTGTTTCTAAGATTTTAGATTGTGTTAAAAATATGATTGTACTTCCTTTTACAATTGAGTTTGGTTTTTCAGTAATTTGGATCTAGCTGGGTCATTCCTAAGAAGAGAGGATAAGTAGGAAGTACTGCCTGATCTTCTTCTTCCCTTGCCTCGTTCAGAATGGGAAGAGCATCATTGACTAATGCTTCTTTGTTGGGTTATAGGAGTTTTTGGGAGTTTGCAGTGGGAGAGGAGTAGGTGCTGTGCTGGCCCTCAAGGGACTGCCTCAATATAGGATGACTCCCCTGCCATATATAGCTATCATATGCAGGACAGAAGAGGAAAATAAGAACAGCTTATGACTAACACCCTACCTTCCAGTCTGGAAAGGAGTCTGAAGGTTGGTTTGAGGAATCGGTATGAATCAAAGGGGAAAATGGAGCACAGTGGGACACCCACTTTCTCAACTGGGGGATTGTAAGAGCCAGTTGTGTGATGGGATGATCTTCAGCATCCCTGCTGTACACTATTTTTGGAAGCAATACGTTGTCTCTCTAGATCAGTGTTTCTGAACCAGGGTGCTGTGACACTTTGGGGTGCCTTGAGATCCTTTCAAGGGTGCCATGGGGTACCACACAGTGTTAGCACTGTTAGGTGTACAAACAAGTTTTGCAGAGATTTCAAATGGGAATCCATTGTGTCAAAAACATTCTACCCTGTTGTGGTCTTTCTGAGTTCTTTGCAACAAAAGAATTGCTCTGTTATTTTTTCTTCAACCAAAAACAAGTGAAAACTAAGATCTGGCACTTTTTCCAAGGGGTGCCTTGAATCTAAAAAGGTTGAGAACCACTACTCTGGACCTCAAGTAGCACTTGGTTATTAAGGGCTCTGAGCTGCTTGTATTAGTTGTATCCCTATACCTGACCATTAGTCAAGGATTGTACATTTTACTTACCTTACAGAGTAGATTATGTATCCCATTCTGATTGAGAGTTTCTCTTCAATTTGGTATTATCTTGACCCAAGTTTGTTGAGATTTTTTTTAAGTTAGAAGCTAATGTATGGTTTTTCTTTATATGTACTATTTTATTTAATGAATTTTCTTCAGCCAATTGAATAACATGCTTTTTTCAGAACTGAAATCTCATGCAGTCCAGACTGACCTGTGACCATTGAAAGCAGAATTTCATTAAGGGTTGGGTCTGGCAGAGACTTTGAACAGACTTTAATGGTTACTGAAATCTGCTTTATTGTTTGAGCTTTAAGACTCCATTTGGTTTTCCATTTATTTGTTCACTCTTCATCTTGTGCTTAAAAGCATAATAATGTGTCAATAACTTGTAATTTGACATGGCTTGAGCAATAGATTGTGAACTGAAGCTTAATACAAAACCTCCCTACAATATGGGGGTACAGAATATACAAACTCTTTTAACTTTTTGCTATTAGATTATAGATCCCAGAAGGTACCAGCTGTATTTCAAAATATTTTATTTGCTTTTGAATTTCAGATGTCCACTAAGGAGACAAAACTATGATTATGGAATATACCTCCTCACGGTTTTGTACCATGAATCTTGGGTAAGCAATTGAATTTATCTAACAAACTAAACACTACTTATTTCAGAAAAGAACTCTTCACCTATGATGATATTCTGTTAACTATAAAAATCTCGATGGGCATGATTGGTGCAGTTGGACTATTTAAATGCATAATCAATTATTTTGTCCAAAATGAACCACGGAGTGCATTTCTCTAACTTTTTGGCTTGCTTTAGTTTTTGATACTGCATGCACCAAATATTCTATCACAGAAACTTAAAATCTTAGAAGTAAACTCTATTCTACAGACCGTAGTAGTTAATAGTTAATTTAAGACCCTATGATCAACATTCAGGTAACCTTTTTGATGCTTCTGTTCTCGATAGTTAGTGATTTATCACCTATATGTGAAATTAGGGACTCTGGCAAGGTATACTTCCTTTTTACCAGAAACGTCCCTAATGAATGCACATGTTGTAATTTTAGACAGCATGCTATTAAGTATTAAATACAGCCTGTGAATTTATGTATTTTAAGAAACTTATTTTCACTGGTACATTACCAGTATGGGTATTTTTTCCTGTTTAACAGCATTACAAATCATGAACTCTGGTGACAGATCAGAGTTTCCAATAGTAAGCAATGACAATGGAGTCTAAACACTGTTCTTTTTATTAATTCCAGACAAACAACATGTCTCCTTTGCTCTAGCATTACTTAGTGATGGAAGATTGGGCTATATGATAGTGCAGTGCAAGTGGTTGGTGTGTATTGAATACACACAAGTCTCTTACCCCTTCATTACCTTTCAACTTCCATGTTAATATTTGATGAACTCATCAATCAGTTGTAATTGTCTTTGATTTCCATGAAAAATTGATGGCCTGCTGTGACACATCTGATTTTTTTTTTTTTTTTTTTTTTTTTCCATGATCAGTGGTAATCCCTTCTAACAGAGCTGATAAAAGGCAGTGTGGATGCATTTTGTTAACTATAAGCAAACAGGCTGTGGTCTATTTTAATCTGTGTGAACTTTAAATATTGGGGGGGATTAGCCTTCTCTATAGACAGTAACATTAAACTCACTACAGGAGTAATCTTGAGATTTGGTCACCTTGCCAACAGAGTAGTGCCATGTTTGTTTGTGTGAATGTTTTTGGTAAAGGGTAATAAGACGAAGAGGTTGGGCTTTCTACTTTTTTTCTTTTTTTAAGGAAATAAAGTTGTGTGTTCACTATTACTGCATCTGTCGACAAGCTCTGACATGAATCTTGAAGACCCTCTGCCCTATGTCTTTTCATTACAGAACCTCTCAAAAGGTCATGAGCAGCTACCCGTGGGCAGGCAGAGCAGGTGGAAAGCAGCCGGGAGCTGGAGCCAAAGCCCATGCACTGGGGCAGGAGCTGCCTGGCTGAAGCTTCCCCCTGCCTGCCTGGAGCAGTGCAGCACAGGCAGGAGCAGGAGGAGGATTCTCCACTGGAGGAGAGGAGAACAGAACAGCCCCCACCAGCCAGGGCCCTGACCAGCAAACGCAACTTCTGGTAGAGCTGTTCCTGGTGCAGCTGCAGCCAGCCGGATGCTGCTCTGCTCTGCTCCCCTTGCTTCCACCACCAGTGGCTCCTCCTGCCCCTACTGTGCTGATCTGTGTGGGCAGATGAGGGGGAATCTTCCATCATGCAGCTCCCATTGGAGGCGAGGGGAGCAGAGCAGCACTGAGAATAGCCCCATCAGAAGGTGTGCACGGTGGTTGGGGCCCAGGCAGGTGGGAGCACGGTGTGGGCTGCACTGGTGGGAGCAGGTGGGGCTCAGCCCCATACGGAGTGCTGCAGGGGCAGCCACTGGCCAGATCCAGTCAGTTGGCAGGCTGAATTCAGCCTACGGGCCATAGTTCGCCCACCTCTGGTATGGAGGCTATTTGAAAAACAGCTTATGAATTAACCTTCCTTTCAAGTCTTACATTCAAGTGTTTTTGCTCTAAGGTATCTTCCCTTTCTATTAGCATTTCAGACCAAGACCTAGCATCTCTAACATTAAACTCCAGCATTTATTTATATTGCAGAGTTATGTCCCCATTATACCAGGCACCATACGAACAGAACCTACCCAATGAGGTTATGAGCTAGATGTACAACAAGTCAGTGACAAGCATAACAGGAAGGAAAGAGGGAACATGCAGCTAAGTAATAGATTTCATAGACATCAGGGCTGAAAGGGACCTCAAAGATCATCGAGTCCAACCCCCTGCCTCAGGGGCAGGAAGTCAGCAGGGGTCATAGGATCCCAGCAAGATAAACAACCAAATGTCTCTTGAAGGCATTCAAAGTAGGTGCTTGAACCACCTCTGGCGGCAGTCTATTCCAGACCCTGGGGGCTCGGACAGTAAAGAAGTTCTTCCTTATGTCCAGCCTGAAACGGTTATGGAGGAGTTTGTGACAGTTTGATCTTGTCATCCCTTGGGGTGCTCTGGTGAACAGATGTTCCCCCCAGATCCTGGTGAGCACCCCAATAAACTTATAGGTGGCCACCAGGTCACCCCTGAGCCTGCACTTCTCCAGGCTAAAGAGTCCCATAGCTCTCAGCCTCTCATCATCAGGTCTGTTCTCCTGACCTCTGATAATGTGCATGGCTCTCCTCTGGACTCTCTCAAGCTTCTCCACATCCTTTTTGAATTGTGGAGCCCAAAACTGGACTCAGTACTCCATCTGTAGCCTCACCAAGGCAGAGTACAATGGGAAAATGACATCTTGGGATTTGCTTGAGAAGCATCTATGGATGCAAGCCAGCGTTTTGCTCGCTTTCCTAGCTGCAGCATCGCAGTGAAGGCGCATGTTCATCTTGTAGTCGATCATGACCCCCAAGTCCCTTTCACCCACAGTGCTAGCCAGCGTAGCACTGCTGAGCCTATAAGGATGCTGCAGGTTTTTCTTCCCAAGGTGGAGAACCTTGCATTTGTCAGTGTTAAACATCAGGTTCTTGTCCGCCCATTTCCTGAGCCTGTCGGAGTCGGCGTGGATCACCCTCCTGTCTTCAGGTGTGGACGCTTTACCCCAGAGTTTGGTGTCGTCAGCGAACTTAGCCAGTCCGCTTCTGATATCAATGTCCACATCATTAATGAAGATGTTGAATAGTGTAGGCCCAAGGACAGAGCCTTCAGGAACCCCACTGGCCACAGCATACCATAATGATTGACTTCCATCAACCACAACCGTCTGGGTCCTACCATGGAGCCAATTCCCCAGCCAGCGGATCGTGGTAGGGCCGAGGCCGCAGCTAGCCAGTTTTGCTAAGAGGTGATCATAGGATACCAGATCGAAGGCTTTTTTTAAACTAAAGATATACGACATCAATCTCTTCCCCCTTGTCCAGGTGACAGGTCACCTGGTTGTAAAAGGAAATGAGATTGGTCGAGCACGACCTACCCGCAGCAAACCCGTGCTGGCTATCCCTCAGGATGTTGCCATCGGCCAGTCCGTTAAGAATGACCTCTTTGATAATCTTTTCTAAGACCTTCCCCAGGATAGAGGTCAGGCTGATGGACCTGTAGTTTGCCAGATCCACTTTCCTCCCTTTCTTGAAGATAGGCACCGCATTGGCCTTGCAGTCTTCTGGCATTTCACCAGAGCGCCAGGACTTCTTGAAGATCTGTACCAAGGGCTGAGCAATGATGCCAGCCAGCTCCTTGAGTACCCTGGGGTGTAAACTGTCAGGGCCAGCTAACTTGAAGGTATCCAGCCTCTCAAGGTGTTTCTTCACAAGGTCAGCATTGATGGAGGGTAAGCAATCTCCCTCACCCGAGCCTCCCTGTCCCATAATGAGCAGGGGTGTCCCATAATGAGCAGGGGTGTCCCATGGGACTGGTGAAAGATCAGCGCAAAGTACCCATTTAGCAGGTTGGCTTTTTCCTGGACATCAGTTGTCCCATCAGGTTTAGCAGGGGTCCAATGTTGCCCTTGCTTTTCTTCCAGCTCCCCACATATCTAAAAAAGGACTTTTTATTGTCCTTGATACTTGTCAGCCTTGGCTTTCCTGGTTCACTCCCTACAGGTCTGGACCAGTGCAGAATACTCCTTTAAGATGGTTCCAGTCTTCCCTCCTTTATAGGTCTTTCTTCTTAGATGCAGGAGGTCCACAAGTTCCCTGCAAAGCTAAGGGGCCTGCTGTGCCCTTTTGCTGCCTTTCCTCCAAGATGGGATAGACATTGCTTGTGCTTTCAGGATCGCTCCCTTGAGGAGCAGCCCCTCATCCTGAACTCCCCTTCCCTTCAGGTCGTGGTCCCTTAGGACCTTGCCAACAAGCCTTCTGAGCTTGTCAAAGTCAGCTTTCCTGAAGTCAAGGACTTTTGCATTCCTGACTGACTTGCCAGCTTTATGGTGGATAGTGAAGGTGATCAGCTTATGGTCACTGTCTCCCAGCTTCCCTTCGATCATTAGGTCGCTGACTAGTTCATCCCCTGTTGCTAGTACCAGGCGGAGCAGCACTTTGCCTCTTGCCAGTGCATAGACTTTTTGAGTCAGATAGAGTTCATCCACGCATATGAGGAAGCTTTGTGACCATTCAGATTTGACCAAGTGCTCTTCCCATAAGATGTCTGGGTAGTTGAAGTCTCCCATGACAACCATGCACCAGGAGTGTGCAGCCTCAGCCAATTCCCTGGCAAACTCCTGGTCAAGCTCTTGATCCTGGGTTGGAGGTCTGTAGTAGACTCCCACCATTGTGTCCTCTGTGCCGTGTTTCCCACAGATTTTAACCCAGAGGATGTCCAGTCGTCCACCCTGGATGCCAATGTCAGCTTGCAGGGACGTGTAGCTTTCCTTGACTTAGAGAGCTACGCCCCCACCCCTTTTGTCTACTCGATCTCTCCTGTACAGGGTATAGCCATCTATATCTGTGGCCCAGTCATGGGTGCAGTCCCACCAGGTCTCCGTTATCCCTATGACATAGTAGTTGTTTGTGTTAAGCGGGAGAACAAGTTCCTCCTGTTTATTCCCCAAGCTCCTGGTATTTGTGTACAGGTACGCAAGTGTCCCTTTGGGGGCCCT